ATACCGAGGTCCAAATTAGGCTTAGCTGGGGGGCCTATTCACAAGCTTAAAGTGGTTCTAAAGTCTCAAAGTTTTTTACCTTCATGCATTCTATGCATGAAGGTAAAAAACCTTCTGTGTGTAGCAGCCCCCCCACCACTTACCTGAGTCCACTCTTGATCCAATGATGTCCACGAGAGCCTTGGTTCTCCGTGGACTCTCACTCCTGATTGGCTAAGGCAGCAGCACACAAGTTGCAGCAGGAGCCATTGCTGTCAATCACAGCCAGTGAACCAATCAGGAGAGGGAGAGGGCGAGGCCGAGCCATGGTTCTGTCTGTGAATGGACACGCAGAGCCACAGCTCAGGAGCTTTCCTGCTCTGATGCCCCCATAGCAAGCTGTTTGCTATGGGGGCACTTGACAGGAGGGGAGGGGCCTTGAGCGCTTGGGGGGGACCCGAGAAGAGGAGGATCCAGGCTGTTCTGTGTAAAACCATTACACCGAGCAGGTAAGTACAACATGTTTGTTATTGTCAGGGGGTCCTATTGACCCCATGTCTCTCCATAAAGAGGACCTGTCACTAATTATTTCTATCACAAGGGATGCATGCATTCCTTGTGATAAGAATAAAAGTGATTAAACATTTTTTTAAAGGGACAGTGTCAAAAAAAAAAAAAAAAAATTAAAAAAAAAGTTTAAAGTGCCCCCGTCCCCCCGTGCTCGTACATAGTGGTGAACACATACGTAGGCCATGTCCACATATGTAAATGGTGTTCAAACCACACATGTGAGGTATCGGCATGAACATCAGAACAAGAGCAATAATTCTCACACTAGACCTCCTCTGTAACTTTACACTGCTAACCTGTTGAAATGTTTAAAGTATCACCCATGGAGATTTTTAAGTACCGCAGTTTCACGTCATTCCACGAGCGTGCGCAATTTTAAAGCTTGGCATGTTGGGTATCTGTTTACTCGTCATAACATCCTCTTTCATATTTTACAAAAAATGTTGGTATATATTGTGTTTTTTTTTTTTTTTTTTTTTTTTTTTTTTTTTTTTTTTTTTTTTTTTTTTTTTTTTTTTTTTTTTTTTTTTTTTTTTTTTTTTTTTTTTTTTTTTTTTTTTTTTTTTTTTTTTTTTTTTTTTTTTTTAGTTTTTTGTTTTTTTAATCAAAGTGTATTTTTTTTCTAAAAATATATTCATTTTTAAAAACTGAGCATTTCGGTTTTCGGCCAAATGCATTTTGAATTTTCAGTTTCGGTTTCAGCACCAGAAGTTTCTTTCAGTGATCCACTAGATTATATATAAAATGTATATAATTGCTATGCAGACAACTTTGTAATTTAATAGTATTAAAAACTACCTTTCCATTTTAATCTTCTGCTTATATTATCTTCTAAACTAATAAAAAAAAGTATTATGTTGCTTCTTTGCCAACTAGGAATTTTTTTGTACATTATCAATACCCAATAGGGAGCAGAAGCAAGCTTTATAATATACAAATGCAATTTTTAAATTTTTGTCCACTTCTGTATTTTTGTGGCGAATTTGGGCACACACAATAATTGTAGGGGAACGGAGTACAGGGTAAAAAAACTGACTAAATTCAATAAACATCAGATCATCCATCTTTTTTTTCCTTTTTTTTTTTTGGCCTGTACAGATAAAAAAATAAATAAAAATCAGACCTCAGGTTTCGTTGAATAAAGCATCTAGCATTAGACTTTGCTAATATAATCACTAAACATGAAGGGTGAAGCTAGTACAGGTGAAACTCGAAAAATTAGAATATCGTGCAAAAGTTCATTTATTTCAGTAATGCAACTTAAAAGGTGAAACTAATATATGAGATAGACTCATTACATGCAAAGCAAGATAGTTCAAGCCGTGATTTGTCATCATTGTGATGATTATGGCTTACAGCTCATGAAAACCCCAAATCCACAATCTCAGAAAATGAGAATATTGTGAAAAGGTTCAATATTCTCGGCTCAAAGTGTCCCACTCTAATCAGATAATTAAGCCATAACACCTGCAAAGGGTTCCTGAGCCTTTAAATGGTCTCTCAGTCTGGTTCAGTAGGAATCACAATCATGGGAAAGACTGCTGACCTGACAGTTGTGCAGAAAACCATCATTGACACCCTCCATAAGGAGGGAAAGCCTCAAAAGGTAATTGCAAAAGAAGTTGGATGTTCCCAAAGTGCTGTATTAAAGCACATTAATAGTTTGTGGAAGGGAAAAGTGTGGAAGAAAAAGGTGCACAAGCAGCAGGGATGATCGCAGCCTGGAGAGGATTGTCAGGAAAAGGCCATTCAAAAGTGTTGGGGACTTTCACAAGGAGTAGACTGAGGCTGGAGTCAGTGCATCATCAAGAGACACAGACGGATCCTGGACATGGGCTTCAAATGTCGTATTCCTCTTGTCAAGCCGCTCCTGAACAACAAACAATATCAGAAGCGTCTTACCTGGGCTAAAGAAAAACAGACCTGGTCTGTTGCTCAGTGGTCCAAAGTCTTCTTTTCTGATGAGAGCAACTTTTGCATCTCATTTGGAAACCAAGGACCCCGAGTATGGAGGAAGAATGGAGAGGCACAAGGACCCCGAGTATGGAGGAAGAATGGAGAGGCACAAGGACCCCGAGTATGGAGGAAGAATGGAGAGGCACACACTGCACGATGCTTGAAGTCCAGTGTGAAGTTTCCACAGTGTGTTGATTTGGGGAGCCATGTCATCTGCTGGTGTTGGTCCACTGGCGCTTCATTAAGTCCAGGTCAACGCAGCCGTCTACCAGGAGATTTTGGAGCACTTCATGCTTCCTTCCACAGACGAGCTTTATGGGGATGCTGACTTCATTTTCCAGCAGGACTTGGCACCTGCCCACACTGCCAAAAGCACCAAAACCTGGTTCAATGACCGTGGGATTACTGTGCTTGATTGGCCAGCAAACTCGCCTGACCTGAACCCCAAGAGAAAGATGAGAGACATGAGACCGAACAATGCAGAAGAGCTGAAGGCCGCTATTGAAGCATCCTGGTCTTCCATAACACTTCAGCAGTGCCACAGGCTGATAGCTTCCATGCCACGCCGCATTGAGGCAGTAATTGCTGCAAAAGGGGCCCAAACCAAGTACTGAGTACATATGCATGCTTATACTTTTCAGAGGCCCGATATTGTTCTATGTACAATCCTTGTTTTATTGATTGCATGTAATATTCTAATTTTCTAAGATTGTGGATTTGGGGTTTTCATGAGCTGTAAGCCATAATCATCACAATGATGACAAATCACGGCTTGAACTATCTTGCTTTGCATGTAATGAGTCTATCTCATATATTAGTTTCACCTTTTAAGTTGCATTACTGAAATAAATGAACTTTTGCACAATATTCTAATTTTTCGAGTTTCACCTGTATAAAAGAGCATCATCATAGAGGTGTGTGCCCAGGGCAACATGATGTCTAAATACAGCCCTGTGTAGAAGGAACACATACCCAGCATTACTGGGCTCCTTCATTCCTTTCTAGGTTAGTTAGCAGCAGGAATTGAATGATGTGGCCTTTTACGTCATTTATTTGTAGTGCTCTGCCAAGTTTCCAGCAGCAGTTTTGAAGAGTGCAGAAGAAAAGGAAATTCTGATCTTTTCTATCATGGGCAGCTGCCTAGTCCATGTGTTCATTATTACTGATTAATATGGGGGAGGATCTTAAAGTAAACTTTGTTCTCTGCAGGCCAATAAAAAAGGTTCACTTAAATGTCTTCTCCCTTTGCATATAATCACCTTCCTTTCACTTCCCAATTCCAGGAGCAAAGAGAAATTCCTGGTCCTTCCAGGTATTAGGGAACATGTAATTCACTTTCCTTTCTCTGACTATTTAGTCCAAAATACTTTGAAATACCTTTAGCTCTGGTCCAGAGGTCTTAACTGTGTGACTCTGTTGAGTGTCACACAACCTTTGTAGAAAAAAAAAGTACCCTCTGCACCCAGAGCCTATGGCTTGGTCCATGGCTGTGGTCACCAATAGTATAGAACAGCCTTTCTCAACCATCACAACATGGAGGAACCCCCTGAAATATCCTTCCAAGCTCAGGGAACTCCTGCTAATCATTACTATATCTGTATATTATTATGATGATCACTAGGAAGAATGCTACTTACATTTGAGGTAATTGGGAAGAATTCCACCCTTTCAAAGGTCTAAAACAGTGGTCTTCAAACTGTGACCCGGTGGACAGATAATGCCCTTTGCCTTGCCCTTGGGGCACTATTCTGTCCACTGATACCAACATTTGCTGCTACTGACATAAACAATGGGGCACTATATCCCCCACTGACACCAATGATGGGGCACCATTCCTTCCCCTAATAACAAAGATGGGGCACTGTTTACCTCCCACTGGTTCCAAGAAAATTTCTTCTCCTGCTCCGTTCTCTCAAAAGTTGGAAGAACATTAAACTGGCCCTTTGTTTAGAAAGTTTGGAGCCCCCTGCTCTAAAGAATCTGCCCATTATTCAAAGAATCCCCAACAACTATGGAGGAGGTTCCTCAGAACCCTGGTTGAGGAAGGTCAGTATAGACCCAGCCATAAGAAGGATCTGGCAAGTGGTACACATGCTCAGTAGGTTCAGGACTTTTTCTGCAAAGGCTGTAGGGTGCTGAGAAGGTGAAGATCTCCAGAGCAAGGTTGGATATAAGTATTTAGATATCTCAGCTACATTCAGAGGATTGGTGGAGTGCTTTAAAGGATGGCGTTACTACATTGTAAAAGTGAAGTTGTCTTTTAACTCTTCAGCATCTGCCAAAAAACTGAAATATACAAAGCAGTTTTACCAGTAATGAAATATTGCTGTATAGTAGACCAATTCACTGTTTGGAGCATTGGGTCTTCCTGATAGGGCCCATACAAACCAAAGGATGAAGCTGATTCTATGCAACAAATTCTCTATTTTGCCACATATAACAAGTACAGTTTATGCTCGGGAGAATTATTATCATTTCACGTGGGTCTGTCTCACCTCTCCGTCCCGGGTCTCAATAGTTTTGATCATGACTGTTTTTTTGGTGTGAACTTCAGATGATCTCTGCTCTGGGCTGGTCTCTGGAAGAACACACATGAAAAATGGTGTTGGTATGAAATAATAATTTACACTGACAGGCAGTCTGTAGCAGCTCTAAATGAGAAACACAAAGGTCAACGGGAAGATTTACGACTCTTGCTGGCTACCTGGATTTATACAATATTGGCAGAGGAAATGGTGTTGTTATTCTGCAGTCTTTCTTGATAGGTAACCAGAAAAGAGATGCATTGGGGTGGATTTACTAAAGCCAAATAGACTGTGCACTCTTGCAAGTGCAGTTGCTCCAGAGCTTAGTAAATGAGATGAGGCTCTGCTGACTTCCATCATCCAATCATGTGTAAGCAAAAATGCTGTTTTTTTCTTGCATGTGATTGGGTATTCTTTGCATAGTGAACCTTCATCTCATTTACTAAGCTCTGGAGCAACTGCACTTGCAAAGTGCACAGTCTATTTGCCTTTGGTAAATCATCTCCACTGTTTCTTTCCAGTGCTTACCTTCCAGCCCTCTCTCACTCTTCAGTGGATAATGAAGGCAATGCTCGGTCCTCTTCTATACACAGATATTGTAGAAAGGAAATGTGTGACATTATGGGGTTGATTTACTAAAGGCAAATAGACTGTACACTTTGCAAAGTGCAGTTGCTCCAGAGCTTAGTAAATGAGGTAAAGATTCACTATGCAAAGAACACCCAATCACATACAAGGAAAATAGAAAAAACAGCATTTTTGCTTGCACATGATTGGATGATGGAAGTCAGCAGAGCTTATGCTCATTTATTAAGCTCTGGAGCAACTGCTGTTGTAGAGTGAAAATGCACTTTGCAAAGTGCACAGTCTATTTTACCTATCAGGAATCAACCCCCATGTCTGCCATTGAAGATAGGAAATTTAAAGATAGCTCAGGCCTTAACACTCATCTGTGTTTTTTTTTTTTTATTGCTCCTACCTTTTTCCATAATAATAATTTTATCTTGTTACACTTACCTCTGAAACTCAGTGCGGAATATGTCTGGATGGGAAGACTGATCCTAAAACACAGAATTGGAAGTGACTTAATTACTTTATACGGTAATCATTACAGTCCAACAACAGCTATATTTTTAAGGCTGCATTCACACTTGTTGCCATGCAACTTTGGACACTAACGTCGCACGACAAGTCGCACCCCATATTTGTCAATGACAACCATTCAAATGTGTGCAACTTAAACTTGCAGTGACTTTAACCACCTCCTGCCCGCCCTATAAGGAAATGACAGACGGGAGGAGGTTCTCTTGTTCTGGGAGGGCATCATATGACGTCCTCCCACTCTAACCGCGCATGCGCACCCCCGAGGGCACGTAGTGCAGTGAACGGTGATGCACTGTGTCCCTGGGACACAGTGGATCACCGATCAGCGGAAAGAGCCGATGACTTCGGCTCGGTCATGTGTTCAGCTGTGTCCAATCACAGCTGATTGCATGTAAATAAGGAAATGCTGGTTATTGTCATTCCTCTCCTCATGAGCTGTGACGCTGACAGCTTGTGAGAAGAGGAGAGCCGGATTTCTCAGAGGGGACATCTACACTGATCATCAGGGCACTGATGATCAGTGCCCTGATGATCAGTGTAGCCCCATCAGTTCCACCTGTCAGTGCCCATCAATGCCACCTGTCAGTGCCTATCAATGCCACACATCAGTGCCTACCAGTGCACATCAATGCCTCATATCAGTGCCCATCTGAGCTGCCTTTCAGTGACAACTATCAGTACCAGTCAGTGCCACCTATCAGTACCGATCAGTGCTGCCAATCAGTGTCACCTATCAGTGCCCATCAGTGACTCCTATCAGTGCCAATTAGTGTCACCTATCAGTGCCCATCAGTGCCACCTATCAGTTCCCGTCAGTGCCACCTATCAGTGCCAGTCAGTGCTGCCTATCAGTGCCGCCTATCAGTGTCATATATGAGTACTGCCTTTCAGTGCCCATCAGTGATACCTGTCAATGCTCATCAGTGCCACCTACCAGTGCCTCCTCATCAGTGCCGCCTATCAGTGCCCATCAGTGCAGAATATCAGTGCCCATCACTGCAGCCTCATTAGCGCACATCAGTGAAGGAGAAAAATTACTCATTTACAACATTTTATAACAGAAACTAAGAAAAAAACTTTTTTTTCACAATTTTCAGTTGTTTTTGGTTTGCTTAGCAAAAAATAAAAAACCCAGAGGTGATTAAATACTACCAAAAGAAAGCTCTATCTGTCTCAAAAAAATTATAAAAAGTTCATATGTGTACAGTGTTGCATGATTGCACAATTGTCATTCAAAGTGCGACAGCTCTGAAAGCTGAAAATTGGCCTGGGCAGGAAGGGGGTAAAAAGGTTCCTGCACTACTTTGGTCCGACTTTCATGTGACTTGAGTGCCATAGACTACAAAATAAACCCTCATGTTGCATGAAAGTCGCACCTGATTCTTATACAGTATATGCAACAGTTGTCCATTATCATTGGTCAAAGCCAGAGTCGCATCCAAGTCTCACCCATCTAAAGTTACATCAAAGGTACGCTCCAAAGTTACACTAGAAACCATAGTAACATAGGAATCATGGAGTGCTCCATAGAGTCTGCCCTTTTTTTTGTTTTGTACTTTTTTTCATTAACTTTTTTGTCTCAGTATAGATCTATGTTTGTCCCAAGCAGGTTTGAAGCTATTTACTGTTGCCTGGCTCACTACCTCTGCTGGAAGTTTATTCCAAGCATCCACTACCCATTCAGTAAAATAATACTTTCCCAGATTAGTTTTTATCTTTCCTCCAGTTAGTTGGAGGTCATGTCCCCGTGTTCTTGATTTTGGTTTCGTGTTGAAAATCCTGCCCTCCGGTATGGCTCTACTTTGGAGTTGCACTAGTGTGAATGGGAAAGCTGAAGTTTAGGTATGAATTTGATTGCATAGTTACATTTTGGATCAATGTAAAGCTAATGGCCACTATTCAGTGCTCCTACTCCTTGACCTCTCTGCGGCCTTCGACACAGTCGACCACCCCCTCCTCCTCAAACAACTACACTCCTTCGGCCTCAGAGATTCTGCTCTCTCCTGGCTCTCATCCTACCTGTCACAACGCTCTTTCAGCGCTACCTATAATGCTACCACCTCCCCCTCACTCCCCCTCTCTGTTGGGGTCCCTCAAGGCTCCGTCCTCAAGCCCCTTCTCTTCTCCATCTACACCTCCTCCCTTGGCCAACTCATACACTCTCACGGCTTCAACTACCACCTCTATGCCGACGACACACAAATGTATCTCTCAACCCCCTACCTCACCCCCTCAGTCTCCGCCCGAATCACACACCTACTGAGCGACATATCAGACTGGATGTCGCTCCACTTCCTTAAACTGAACCTCTCCAAAAGAGTTTCTTGTCTTCCCCCCAGCCCGGACCCCACCCCCCATTGACTTCTCCATCACATCCAACAACGCCACCATCAAACCCGCCCTGCAGGCCAGAGTACTTGGTGTCATTCTGGACTCTAACCTATCCTTCCAGCCCCAAGTCCAATCTTTAACAAACTCATGCAAACTCCACTTCCGCAACATCGCCGAAATCCGCACGTTCCTAACCCCAGAAACCACTAAACAGCTCATCCACTCCCTCATCATATCATGACTCGACTACTGCAACTCCCTCCTCACTGGCCTGCCTCGCCGCTGGCTATCCCCGCTTCAGTCGATCCTGAATACGGCTTGCAGACTCATTCACCTTTCCAACCGCTCCATCTCCGCCACCCCCCTCTGCCAATCCCTCCACTGGCTTCCGATTGCGCAACGGATCAAATTCAAAATCCTAACACTGACGTACAAAGCTGTCCACCATACTGCCCCGTACTACATCACTGACCTAATATCCAAGAACCACCCAACACGCACACTCCGCTCCTCACAAGACCTCCTTCTCTCTAGTTCCCTGGTCTCCTCCTCCCATGCCCGCCTCCAGGACTTCTCCAAGGTGTCACCCATCCTCTGGAACTCCCTGCCCCAACCCATCAGATTATCACCTACTCTCCTCTCCTTTAGGCGCACCCTGAAAACCCATCTCTTCAGGGAAGCCTACCCCCCCCTGCTAACTTGCCGACCTCCTCCACTCTTCCTACCACTCCATCCCCCCAGCTTTCTCCTCCTGTGCCACCATCCCCTCCCTCCTAGATTGTAAGCTCGAAAGAGCAGGGCCCTCGATCCCCTCATGTTTTGCATTGTATTGGTATTGTTCTGTCACATGTTCTGTCCCCCTTTGTAATGTACAGCGCTGAGCGAACTGTTGGCGCTTTATAAATACTGTATAATAATAATAATGTAAATATGTTTATTTCATACCAGAGCTATCCCTGTGGAAGTTGCAATTCACTGTAGTAGTTGCCGCTACTACAGTGAAAGCAACAGTCTTCCAGCTCCAGTGCCGAGCAGCTTGCAACACAAGGGTAGCTTGCTTGACACTGCCGCCATTTCCAGCTTGTATTTTTCACAGAATACAAAATTGGACAGGATGGTGATGTTACAGTACTGCTTCTCCACCTCTTGCATAATTGTTATAGGTCAGTGATAAAAAGCATTAAACAGCCAGGCAACTAGCTTTTACAGGAGAGGTCAGTAATCAAGAAAGGTTTGTGTGCTGTCACATCTGCCGGTTTAGTTTTTTAAAGTTTGTGCATTGGTATATTCCCCTGTTCCCCCCTCCTGTTTGCCACCTGTTACAGTGCAATTATTAGTTAGACGCTCCCAGACTAACCATGCCTTCTAGTTAGTTTAGTTTTCACCCTTGATGCCTTTTATGTAAGGAGGCTTTGTAATTGTAATCAAAAAACATTTTCCACCCTGGAATTAACTATATTGGATATCACTTCTGAGTCTTCTTAGTGAATTGACACTGCCTGTGGATTTTGTCAAGTCACAAAGGCTGGAACTCTGTAATACAGTAGTAAATGGTTTCTTATGTGGTTTCTTCATTGCCACAATTATTCAACCCCTTAAAGACTACCACTCTGAAGAACAGAGGTTCATACAGGTGCTTTCCATCAGGTATTGAAAACACCTGTGGATGTCACCGAGCAGCAATCAAGCATAATAAGCACCAATTAGGCAGCTTTAAAATGACTGTGATACTCAGCTCCTTCTAGACATTTACTGGTGTGGTTACAAACATGGTGAAGGCAAGAGAATGGTCCAGGAAGACAAGAGAAGAGGTGATTTCTCAACACAGGAAGGGCAATGGCGACATATAAGAAGATTGCAAAGATGTTCCTTAAACATACCAAGAGACACCTTAGGAAGCATCATTCGCAAATTCCATCAAGGCAAAGGGCACTGTCAAACCCGCTACCTGGTCGTGGCAGAAAGGTAAGTCATTCTGACTTAACTGCTGTGCGCTACCTGAGCGTAGAGTGGAGAGAAGTCCCCGTGTGACTGCTGAGGAAAACTCATGAGAAAAGATTTGTCAGATGTGGGAACAGAAGTTCCAGCCCAGACAATAAGACGCACACTGCGTAATGAAGGCCTCCGTGCCAGAACTCCCAGGCGTACCCCCTTGCTGTCGATCCAAAGAATAAGAAGAGTCGACTGCAGTATGCCAAAAGCTCATGTGCCAAACCACAAAAGTTGTGGGATAGTGTTCTGTGGACTGATGAAACAAAATCCTAGAACTGTTTGGGCCCATGGATCAACGCTATGTTTGGAGGAGGAAGAACAAGGCCTATGATCCAAAAGAACACCTTGCCTACTGTGAAGCATGGTGGAGGGTCAATCATGCTTTGGGGCTGTTTTGGTCTTCTCCAGGTACAGGGAAGCTTCTCCAAGGTGTCACCCATCCTCTGGAACTCCCTGCCCCAACCATGAGATTATCACCTCTCAGTCTCCAGGAGATATTGGATGGAACGTGATGCAGTCCGTCACACACCTGAGGCTTGGGAGACGTTGGACCTTTCAACAGGACCCCCCATGATCCCAAGCATACCTCCAAGTCCACTAGAGCATGGTTGCAGAGGAAAGGCTGGAACATTTTGGAGGTATTGTTCTGTCCATCGCAGTCACCAGACAGCGCTGAAATCCTGATTGAGAACCTACTGGTGGGACTTAAAGAAAGCAGTTGCAGTGGAAGCGCAAGCCTAAGAATGTGACTGAACTGGAGGCCTTTGCCCCGATGAAGAAAGGGCGAAGATACCCGCTAGATCGCTGCAAGACACTTGTGTCAAGCTATACAAAATTGGACAGGATGGTGATGTTACAGTACTGCTTCTCCACCTCTTGCAAAATGTTATAGGTCAGTGATAAAAAGCATTAAAACAGCCAGGCAACTAGCTTTTACAGGAGAGGGGTTAATCAAGAAAGGTTTGTGTGCTGTCACATCTGCAGTTTTTTAAAGTTTGTGCATTGGTATATTCCCCTGTTCCCCCCTCCTGTTTGCCACCTGTTACAGTGCAATTATTAGTTAGACGCTCCCAGACTAACCATGCCTTCTAGTTAGTTTAGTTTTCACCCTTGATGCCTTTTATGTAAGGAGGCTTTGTAATTGTAATCAAAAAACATTTTCCACCCTGGAATTAACTAAATGGATATCACTTCTGAGTCTTCTTAGTGAATTGACACTGCCTGTGGATTTTGTCAAGTCACAAAGGCTGGAACTCAGGAGGTATATTTTGTGCATAAAGCAACATCTGAGGAAGTATATCTAAAGCCAAATGTTTTTTGGTTTTTGGTTTTGGATAGTTTAGGGAAAGGTTAAAATCACTGTCTGGATTTTCTTCTTCTTTGCTATGTCCCATTGGGAAGATTTTCCCTCATTTCCTGCCCAGGAGACACAACAAGAAGTGAGGGAAAAACTCTCCAAAATAATGGAAAAGCCCCTGAAACCAGTACAGATGTCCCCCATTGGAAATGTATCCTCAGTGGTCACCAAGACAATTAAACATGGTGAACCTCCCCAGCAAGGACATAGACAGGAGATGTAGGGGGGTTAACTCTTCTTTTCTGACTGATGGGACCCCATTCTGAGTAGTCTGCCTTATGTTTATATATTCTTACAGTAATAATGTTAGCATGCCTTACCTGCTCTCCTCTCCTTCCAGCAGTTTACGGTATGTGGCAATCTCAACATCCAGTGCCATCTTAACATTCAGCAGATCCTGGTATTCCCGAAGGTGCCTTGCCATCTCATCCTTGAGATTGCGGATTTCTTCCTCTAGCCTGGCAATGGAATCCTGATAGCCACCTGCCTCTCCCGCGAACCTCTCCTCCAGGTCCCGCATCTGGCGCATCAGGGAATCATTCTGAGAATAAAGAGACCCTGTGTTAGCCCGATAGGAAGCCATATGGGCCTAGTATTGGTAACGGCCAACATTGGGTATAGAACTTACTGTGCCTTTAAGGGCATCAATCTCACAGGTGTAGGACTGAATCTGGTGGCGATATTCCATGAGCTCCTGTTTGGACTGGCGCAAAGACTCGTTATTCTTCTGTGCAGCTTGATTGAGATCTGATACCTGTAATAAGAAATTGTTGTGAGATTGGGTGGAAGAACAATTACTAAGTCACACTCATTCGGATGTGATTATTGTTAAAGGGAAACCGTGCACTTTTTGAAGATATCTACTATTGGCTTTATTAACCAGAAACCTCCTTCTGAGCTTTTTTGTTAGTTTGTAATATTTGGTTGGAGGTAAATGTCTACAGACCTACGATATAGCTTCATATTTCTTGTATACCTAAGGCAGTACAACACTACTGTACAAGCCCTGGTCTAGCTTGGAGCAGGAAACAGGCAGACACAAACGTTTTTTTGTAGCACCCTTCTAGATAGGTTGCTAATTGATAGGGAAATGTAGTTGTTTGGCTGGGCAGTAGTCAGCCCAGTTTTGATTTGTATAGTTGTGCATTTGGTTTCTCCCAAAGATCAATGGGGTTGTGATCTCTCGCTGTTGCCAGTAGGTGTCACTGGCACCACTGTCTATAGCAGGGGTGCTCCACCTGTGGCCCTCAGAGCCCTCTGATGTAGCCCTCGACCTCAAACCAGGGAAACGCAGGCCTGGGGTTGGCAACCTGTTGATTGGGATCTAGGTTTGGACCCACCATCCGAGAGCATCAGAGTGCATTGAGCTGTTATCAGGAGAGGTGCAGTGACTATGCTGTTATCAAGTTTCATCACCATCCATTAGCGTCCCTTTCGGGGGTAGCACTGCATTTTCATACCTTGGATTTGTACCATTCTTCAGCCTCAGCGACGTTCTTGGCAGCAATATTCTCGTACTGTGCGCGGATATCTCTGAGAGCTGCGGTTAGGTCTGGTTTGGCAACATCCATCTCTACCTGTACGTGCTGCTCTTGAAGTTGTGCCTGAAGATCACGGATTTCCTGTGAAGACACAAGAGATGTTATCTGAGAACCTGAGAAGTTCTATGCAAGGTCCATGGAGACAGGACTCTGCAAATGGGATTGGATTGGCCAGACAAGCTTGAAGTTTTGGTGGCACCTTCCAACTCCTGCCAAGTCTTTTAGTTTTTGATTGAGGCAGAAAAGGTTAACAGTAGAGGTCAACTTTATATAGCTTTCTGTATTCTGGTCTGGGAGGCCTATCATCTCTCCCTGTCAATTTGATGTGACAGGAAAAGAGGGGGAATTCTCCAAGAGGCAGAGTAAAAAAAATGTTCTAGCTGACTAAAGCAGATTGTTGATTTTATTGCTATCTGTGTCCCCATGGGGAGAATCTCTTCTCATTTTCTATCGAGGTAACAGGTGTCAACCAGAACAGGATAAAAAACAGGTATCCCTTTCATGGGGATCGATCACAGTCATCATTGAAAATCATTGGGGCCCTCTTATAGCCTATCTGACAAGCCCCCAACCATTCACCACTCTCTCTGTGTGACTATCGATGTTGAGGACTTTAAAGCACAGAAAAATAGATTAGAGACAAGGTGTCATCATCACCCATGCCATTGCCCCAGGCTTCTTTTCTGTGCTTCTGAACCCCAGCTCACAATCTCGATCAGTCAAGCACAGGGGCAGACTGACATCTCATGGGGCCCCCGGGCAATAGGGGATCATGGGGCCCTTGACCAAACTCACAAAAGCCTAAGAAAAAGGTACCAGGGGCATCTTATGGGGCCCCCTATTGGCCCCGGGCCCTTGGGCAGTGCCCGAGTTTCCAAATGGTCAGTCCACCCCTGGTCAAGCAGAGCCCTTATGACTGACTTTACTGGTGTTGCGCAAAAGTTGGTAATAGAGGGGGCACCCACAGACAGCCCCTTCCAAGCCCAGACCCCAACTGAGCCATTAGGGGCTTAGGCCCAGTATGGGAGTACCCTTTGTACCTCTATAACTCCCTCTTGGTGGCCCTCATAGGGGTACATGCAGAAGTTCTAACCATTCTATTTTATGCAAAGTCTTACCTCTTCATGAATCTTCTTTAGGAATGCAATCTCCTCCTGCAGAGACTCAATCCGCCTCTCCAGATCAATGCGGGCCAGGGTAGCTGCATCTACATCCTGAAAAAAATGAGGAAATTGGCATGTCTTTAGGCTGCAACACATGGAACTTCAACCAAACAAGTAAACAGTTTACAAAACATACAGATAAACTTGTAGTTGTTTTTACATGCCATAATACTTTCCACTGGACATTTTTTAATTAAACCCTCATGTTGCATGAAAGTCACATCTGATTCTTATACAGTATATGCAACAGTTGTCCATTATCATTGGCCAAAGCCAGAGTCGCATCCAAGTCTCACCCATCTAACATTACATCAAAGATACGCTCCAAAGTTACACTAGAAATCATAGGAAAACATAGAAAAGTTATGGCAGGAAAAGACCGAGTGCTCCATCGAGTCTGCTTCTTTTTTTTTTTGTACTTTTTTTTTTTTTTTCATTAACTTTTTTGTCTGAATATAGATCTATGTTTGTCCCAAGCGTGTTTGAAGCTATTTACTGTTGACTGGCTCACTACCTCTGCTGGAAGTTTATTCCAAGCATCAACTACCTTTTCAGTTAAATAATACAGGGTGCGGCAACAAAATTTCCTTTTTTGAAATGCGTGCCATTCAGGCTGTAGCGGCCATAGCGGGGCGGGAGTGGTCTCAGGCGACAGGCGTAGTTCTAAAGTTTTTGTTCTCTTCCAGGTCAGTCATCCTCATGCGTTGGAACAGTGAGCAACGTGCGTTTGCCGTGGAGGCCTACTTTTCGAACGGATTTTCTGTGATCGCAACCCAACGCGCCTTCCGACATCGCTTCAATGTAGCCCCATTGGGCCGTGTCCCGGACCGGAAATCAATTGTTACGTGGGTTCAGACAAAACCGCGAGTACGACAAGACGAAGAGCTGGAGTCCCTCGACCCATCAGATCACCTGAGAACATCGAAGGGGACATTTGGTTCCAACAGGACGGAGCAACGGCTCACACTTCAAGATCATCAATGGCTGTTTTAAGGGAACACTTCCCGGAGCGCCTCATCTCAATAAGGGGCGATTTGGAGTGGCCAGCCCGCTCCCCCAATTTGGCCTCTTGCCACTTTTTTTTGTGGGGTTTTTTGAAATCCTGCATTTATGTAAACCGTCCAAGGACCCTACAAGACCTGAAGGCCAACATCCGCGCAGAAATTGCCAACATACCCGCTGCTATGCTGGTAAGGGTCATGAAAAACGCCAGAAATCGGCCTATTCAGTGTATGGACAATGGGGGGCGTCACCTACCTGATATGATTTTCAAAACTGTGTAAAACAGAACTTTAGATACGTACCTACATTATTAAAGACAATAAAAACAATTCTGATTCATAAAATGGGTTTTATTGCGTTTTGAAAAAAGGAAGTTATGTTGCTGCACCCTGTACTTTCCAAGATTAGTTTTTATCTTTCCTCCAGGTAGTTGGAGGTCATGTCCCCGTGTTCTTGATTTTGGTTTCGTGTTGAAAATCCTGCCCTCCTGTATCGCTCTACTTTGGAGTCGCACTAGTATGAATGAAACCGCACTAATGTGAATGGGAAAGATGAAGTTTACACCCTTTTTCACCCTTGATGCCTTTTATGTAAGGAGGCTTTGTAATTGTAATCAAAAAACATTTTCCGTCCTGGAATTAACTATATTGGATTTCACTTCTGAATCTTCTTAGTGAATTGATACTGCCTGTGGATTCTGTCAAGTCACAAAGGCTGGATCTCAAGAGGTATATTTTTTTTGCATATACTAGTTATATTAGGAAATAGTTCAAAGAGCTTTGTGAAGCTGCAAATCACAATTTTTGTTAACAAAAGTGAACATCTGAAGGACATGGTAGATGTGGAAAGATAACTTACGGCTCTGAAGGCTGACAGGTTATTCTCTGCATCTTCTTTAAGCTGAATCTCTTCTTGCAACCTGAGAGAAGAAAGGGCTGGTAAGCGTCGGTGTGAACATACGCATATATCACATGACATCATTCAACGCACATGCTCAATGTGGCATCTTGGGAGAGTAATCATCTGACTCAGTCTAACCCTAGGTTCACACCTAAGCGTTTTCTGCAGCATTTTGCACAAACGCACAGCAGTCCATTTAACATGATTTCCTATGGGACAGGTTCACATCTCCACGTTTTCACCCCGTGCGTTTTTGGAAAGGGTCAGGAACCTTTTTTAACGCAAAACGTTGAGTTTTTGGTTCTATAGACTTCAATGAGAATGCTGCAGAAAAGCATGTATTATGTTTTTGCTGCATTTTTGTATGCATTTTGTGTTTTAAATCTGTCTAGCAACAAGAAAAATTAAAAAAGAAGAAAAAAAAAAACAAAAATGTAAAATGTATCAAAAACTTGGCAAAAACACAATGCAGATACGCATCAAACGCGTGAACCTAGGGTAAGGCTTCCTCTCATCCAAGGTTGACCTGCTAAGTATATCTACTGAAATTCTGAATGGTGCCACCACCCATATCACAATCATAACCTAGTGCTCTGGAAATCCCCAAGAGCCCATTGACTCCTTCGTGTTCTGAAAAGTGATTGTAAACCCTTACATATACCCAGTGAAGTGACTGGCCTCAGGTGATACACAAAGATGTAATTTGTACCTTTTTATCTGCACTCTGCTCTTCTCTACAGCCATTCAAAGTCCAGCATTCATACAACTTGTCTGAGCTTTCAGAAAACAGAGGGCGGAAAGCGGTAATTACACACTGAAGAGCTCAGTGTGTGCTGGAGGTCCCTCCCCTATCATTTTTTTTTTTTTTCCCTTGGTGTCAGGAAAACTTGTCAGAAGTGACTCATACTGATAGCAGAGGAATGAAGAAGCAGACAGAAATTACACTTAGTGCTCTGGATTGGGACAAGTACACACTATAAAAGGATATGCTTTGTTCATATTTCATGTCTGAGGTTTACCACCATTTTAATACTCGATGTACATTCCGCAGAGGATTACAAATTGGCAGGTAAGTGTACTTTATTGCAGAACAGTCAAAGCATATCTCCCCTGCAATAAAGACCCCGCCTGCTCACAATGTCTCTGGTTTTTATCTTTAGTTTCACTTTAATGCAGATATAAACCCAAATACAAACATGTAATATATTTCAGGGTACCAATCCTTAGATGTAGGGGCTGCAGGGGCGGACTGACCATTTGAGAACTCGGGCACTGACCGAGGGCCTGGGGTCAGTAGAGGGCTCCATGAAATGCCCCTGGTAACTTTCATAGGCTTTTTTGTGTGTGGTTTGAGTGTGGGCGAGGACAGAGGGGCCCCATGATCCCCTATTGCCTGGGGGCCCCATGAGTTGTCAGTCCGCCCCTGAGGGGCTGCATTATTTTATTAGGCTTTTTCCCTAATTTTCAGCTGGCGATCCTGCCAGTAACACACTTCCTGTCTTAAGGAAGTGTGAGGTCCCAATCATGTGATCACTAATTGGCCATTCAGTGATCACATGAATAGTAGTAAGCAAAATGTCACTTCTGACATCATTGCTTAGTACAAGTGGAATCTGTGAATGATCACAGGGGTCACATGGTACAGGGCTATTCACAACAGCCTTGTACCATGTGACAAGCTGTGACCAATCACAGCTCGCACAGTATTTCCCAATGGCTGCAAGAATGCAGCCAGAAGGAAGGAGAAATTATTGCTTTTATAGCCTTTAAAAGCAATCCGTGTAAAAAAAAAAAAAAAAATCTTCATCACCCCCCACAAGCAGTACAGTGTCACTATGGTGACAGTATGTACAAAAAAAAAACCCATAAATAATAATATAAAAAAAGTAAAACATTTTTTTTAAAAATTATAATTTTTGGTTATAAACTAATTTGGGTTATTTATTTATTTTTTACTAAAAAGATAGCTGAATACATTTTGACCAATATTTATGAAGAAAGATTATTTATTTGCAAAATTTTATAAGAAAAACACTTTTTTTTTTCAAAATGTTTGCTCTTTTTCACTTATATAGCAAAAAAAAATCCCAGTGGTGAATAAATACCAGCAAAATAAAGTTTTATCTGTCTCAAAAAATGGTAATAATTTCATATGGGTACAGTGTTGCATGACTGCGCAACTGTCATTCAAAGTGTGGTCAGGGGCGGACTGACCATTTGGAAACTCGGGCACTGCCTGAGGGCCCGGCGTCAGTAGAGGGCCCCATGAGATGCCCCTGGTACCTTTTTCATAGGCTTTTTTGAGTTTAAGCAAGGACACAGGGGCCCCATGATCCCCTATTGCCCGGGGGCCCCATGAGTTGTCAGTCCACCTCTGAGTGTGATAGCACTGAAAGGTGAAAATTGGCCTGGGCTGGAAGGGAGTGAAAGTGTCCGGACTTGAAGTGGTTAAAACTGAATTCCAGGAATTCAGCTCCTTTGTAAATGGCACACTATGAGTTAAGTCCAAAGAGATACATGACATCCCCTAGGCTTATCGCTATTATTTACATCTGACAGTTTTATTACACTCCATTAGTGTTGGTGCAGCATCTAGGCCTGCCCCTCCGCTCCTCCTGCCCAATCACAGAAGCCTTTGTATTATGTGAACTCATCACCATGGTGACACTGTACTACTTGGGGGTGATGAAGATTTTTTTTTTCTTTTTTTTTACACTGATTGGTTTTACACCCATAAAGGCTGTGACATCAATAATTTCTGCTTCTCTCTGGCTGCATTCCTGCAACCATTGAGAAATACTGTGAGAGCTGTGATTGGTCACAGCTTGTCACATGGTACAAGGCTGTTGTGAATAGCCTTGTACCATGTGACCTCTGTGATCATTCACAGATTCCACTTGTACTAAGCAATGATGTCAGAAGTGACATTTTACTACTTACTACTATTCATGTGATCACTGATTTGCCAATTAGTGATCACATGATCGGGACCTCACACTCCCTTAAGACAGTACAAGGCTGTTGTGAATAGCCCTGTACCATGTGACCTCTGTGATCAATCACAGATTTCACAAGTAGTAAGCAATGATGTCAGGAAGTGACATCTTGTTTACTACTATTCATGTGATTACTGATTGGCCAATCAGTGATCACATGATCGGGACCTCACACAAAGATCCCGTACAGAGATCTGTGTCCTCTGGACACAGCGGGCACTGATTGCGGTGCCGCGTGCTCCCAGGGAGCGTGCACAGGCAATGGATGCGGGGGGACATTTAGAAACATCCACCAGCATTGGCAGCGCTTCTATCCGGCCGTTTATCGGCAATGCAGCGCGGCAACCCTGCCATGATGGCATACCACGGTGTCCTCACACCCTGGTTGGGAATTGCTGCCTGAGCCTATGAGATAGAGATTACAGGGATTAAAGTGAACCTGTCACTGTTTTACAGTTGAGGGATACAATGCAAATAATGGGGTTGATTTACTAAAGGCAAATAGACTGTGCACTTTGCAAGCGCAGTTGCTCCAGAGCTTAATAAATGAGCAGAAGCTCTGCTGACTTCCATCATCCAATCATGTACAAGAAAAAAATGCTGTTTTATCTATTTTCCCTGCATGTGATTGGGTATTCTTTACAAAGTACAAAAACTCCAGAGGTTCACTTTGCAAAGAACACCCAATCACATGCAGGGAAAACAGAAAAAACTGCATTTTTGCTTGCACATGATTGGATGATGGATGTCATTAGAGATTCTGTTCATTTACTTAGCTCTGGAGCAACTGCACTTGCAAAGTGCACAGTCTATTTGCCTTTAGTAAATCAACCCCAAAATGTCCTAGATGGTGGCAGATGGAACCCCAGTGCAGTGCGCAGGTCTACAAATCTAAACCCCCAACTGGATGACATTTCCTTTGCTGAAGCATGCTTTATCATGTATAATTGCCTTTTTTTTCATAAAATACTGTTTGCACATTCTTTTCCATCTTTTTTTTTTTTTTTGCATCCCAGGCCGCTGATCTCCTCCTCCAGCCCCTGTCAGCCACATATTGTCTACAGTCGCTCAGGCATCATCTGTACATCATTGCCCTGGTTCGGCTTCCTGATGGTGACAATGGTGGACCAGGGTGGACTGACAACTCATGGGGCCCCTGGGCAATACAGGATCGCCCACACCCAAAGAAGCCTATGAAAAAGCCAATGAAAGGTACCAGGGGGTACTCATGGGGCCCCCTACTGACCCCGGGCCCTCGGGCTGTGCTCGAGTGCTCGAATGGTCATTCCGCCCCTACGGAAGACCATGCCTGCGCAATGTACATCAACACAGCCGCTTGTAGCCTCCATCAGAAGGGCATATGACAGGGTGACCACAATACAGACATCAAATACAAAGAGAGTTGTCACCAATAACAGGAAGTACCTGAACAAGGATGTTTGTGGCAGGATCACCAGCTATTGTTTTAATGGAAGTTGCAGATTCATGAAGATTGAAGGCAAGGATTGGACTAACATGGTAGTGATGGTGTTCAGGCGTACTGTAATATACTGGATGAGGCAGAGGGGCTGATGGCAGCACCATCACCACAGACATATCCGCTCGGCTTCTCCTATTATGGCGATGACAGATTCCGCCTTATGTTAGGAATGGGCATGAGCTCATCCTGCCGAATGTTTTATATTCCTGGTGGGTAAATGTCCGCTGTCTGGCCATGTAGGGAGCACAGGCTGAGGGAGATTTACATTGGGAGGACTCTGCTCTTCCTCACTGTCATGCTATGGAGCTCACAGGCCTGCGTATGATGGCGGTGTGACTGCGCTGCGCGGAGACTGGCCTGCAGCAAGATGGAAGTGTCACGTCCCAGCTGTCACTGCGATCGAGTGGTCAGCGACTCCTTCCCCCTCCTGAGAGGAGGGCCGTCGTTTCATCCACTCGGTGCTAATGTCAGACCTGGATCTGTCTCCTCAGAACAAATGGTGTAACCAAAACACAACCAAAGCCAATAACAGGCATTACAATC